GGGCCCATCCTCAGCTCCTTCCCGCAGGATTCCGTGGTGGGATCGGCCGGAGCTCCCGTCCTTGCAGCCTCTGGGGCCTCCCTGGGCTACGGGGGATTTGGATCTGGCGGATATGGGGGTTACGGCTCGCTGGGCTATGGGGGATTTGGCTATGGGGGCTCCTCCCTGGGCTACGGGGGTCTGTGTGGATATGGGGGCTCCTCCCTGGGCTATGGGGGTCTGGGCTCGTGTGGGGGGTTCCGTGGCTTGTATGGCTCCGGGAGATCCTTTGGCTCCTGCAGCCCTTGGTCCTCCCGCTACGGCCGCTTCAGCCGTGGCAGCTGCGGCTCCTGCTGAACCGGAGTGGAAAATCCCTCAACTCGGCAAACAGCACCGCTGGATCCTCACCTGAGCTCCTGAGGAAGGGGCACAGCATCAGACTTCACTTCTGACCACCGAGCCACAACCCGTCTGGAAATTCTCCTTCTTGTTTCCTCCTCCCTTTGTTCGGATTCCTCTTCCCCGCCCCTCATGTGTCCTTGTCCAGTGGAGCCTTCCCTGCCCTTGCAATAAAAAAATCCTGCATCCAACACTTGCCTTTGTTTTTTCCTCTTAATCCCCAGGAGGGGATTGGGGCCTCCCTCTGCTCCCCATCAGAACCAGGCTGAGATGATTTTGCAGCTGAGAGTCCTCTCTCACTAATTATTACACAAATAATTCCAGTTGTCAGACTTCCAGAAGTTATCCCAAAAGCTGCCAGAGCTCAAGCACAACGCTCTCAGGCACAGGGTGGGATTCTTGGGGTGCCTGTGCAGGGCCAGGAGTTCGACTCAGTCCCTGCGTGGCCCTTCCAACCTCGGATATTCCATGGTTCTTTTTTTTAAGTGGTTCATTTAGTGCTGGAGTTCCTTTTAATTTTACATCTTCCAGGCGATGTATTAGAAATCATCCAACTGCCTTCAAAGACAAAGCTAAAAAATACTGCCTGAAGTTCTAGCAAAGCACGTTCTGAGAAGGAACAATAGGAGGAAGGTGAACAAAGGGAAGCAATTTTTGAGATTGGTATCTGATGAGCAAAGATGAGGCACTACCTTCTCTTTTTTTCGTTAATCACTGCCATGATAAAGTTGCCTCGGGGAAGGTTTGGCTGAACCTGTCAGCAGGTGAGGTAAAAAGAACATGAACTGATGCATTAGAGAGGATTTACCTCTTCCTTCACCCAGGACTCTTTCAAAGAAAATTTCTTGTTCAGTGTCAAGGAACTGCAAATCTTATTTTTCACAGGTAATTTCAATATTCTTCCTTGTATGGGACTGGATCTGTCAGATGGCCATAAGTAAAAAATGGAAATGGAAATTAGTCCATGGTACCTATGAATGCTGCTTTTATTTTCAGAAAACAAGACTTCATTTTTATGGGTAAACAAAGACTTATTCGAAAATATTTTGACCAAAAAACCCCAAAGAACTATAGGTTGGAAAAGACCTTTGAGATGATCCAAGCTGTGCCTGATCCCCACCAGGTAACTCAGCCCAACACCCAGGAATTCCTTGGATATTTCAAGGGATGGGAATTCCAAACCTTCCTGAGCCCCTTTCCGAGGCTTGACCACCATTTCCAGGAATAAATTCCTGTGTCCAAGCTGAACATCCCTTGCTGCATCTCCAAAATCCCTCTCCTGACAGGTTCTGGTCTCTCTCCCTGCCCCATCCTCTCTGTCCCCTCTTTCCTCTCATCCGGGGCAGTTTTGGGACAACTTTACAAAGCTCAAACGCCTTTTCCTCTTTTCTCTTCTGACCTTTGCTTCCACCCTCAGCCTCCAAGAGGTGCTTGGGTGTAAATCGTGAGCCCAGGCGAATTCCCTGAGCTTCGACTGCCAAATTTCACAGCTCTCAGCGAGGCAGTGCCAGGCAGGTACCAGCCTAATTAGGAGCTGTGTCAGACAAGAGCTCAGCCCAAGATAACACCTCTGGAGAGAGCCATTAACACCGAGGGAACAACGATTACACAGCTTTAATTTGGGCTGGATGCCTGCTCGGAGTGAGCTCACGTCTGATTGCAAAACCCAGCCAAGGGCTGACCTTTGTCTCAGTGTCTAGGGGAGTTATGGGGTGGAGGGAGTTTGCTCCATTCCTTACTCAAGGATCCGTCCCCAAAAAACCTCTAATTATTCATTTGCGTTCCTGGCATCGGCACAACTTTTGGGAGCCCTGATAACAGAAAGCTGAGTGGCACAGAGAGGGAGGGAAGGAATGAGAGTTTCCAACTGGAAAAACGAGGTGGGTGAACTGCTGGGAGCAGCAGGAATGGAGTGACCATTATGGGATGGGGCAGAGCAGGGCGCCTGCTGACCACGGGGAAAAGAGGTGGCACAATGGCAAGGAAACTTTCCTGCCCCACCTTCCAGGAGCCACCTCAGAATCCCAGGAATGAGGAAAACACCTCCAACATCATCGAGTCCAACCCAGGACTGATCCCCGTGTTGTCAACCAGCCCAGAGCACTGAGGGTCACATCCAGAACCATCTGAGCCAAGACCTCTGGTTCCAATGACCTCTGCTTGAGTCCCCACACCTCTCACACTCAATCACACGAGGATTCCTCTATGAGTTGAGCCCAGGTTTTCCAAGGAGAGTCTCAAACCCCATGGATCCCCAAAATAATTTAATCATGGTGCAAAAAAAGAGTAACAGCTCGAGATGGTGCCTCCAAGAAGGGACAAAGAAAGGGGAGGTTGGGATTTTATACCCTCAAAGCCTGGGGACATCAGCTCCTGATGTGACTGTGAGTGTCCAGTCACCTGGCTGAGCCAGAGGTTCCTGTGCCCTTTACATGCTCTGGAGTGAATAAAGTGAAAATACAAAATATCAGAGTCGTGGTAATGCAAGCAGAACCTGTAAAACCAAGGAAAAGAGCACACCCAATTCCCCTTTCACTGCAAACAAGTCCCTGCGTGTCTGACAGACAGGGAGAATCCGGGAAAAATGAATGGAATTAATCCTGAGTAAACTAAAATGTAGAACACGAAGTGATAGAAACAAAGCAGAAATCAGCTGACCTGTCAAATGGGGAAAAATGCAAGGGTGAAAATGGAAGGATCAGAATCTACACCACAGCGCTGGAGGGAACAGAACCCCAGAAAAATACACAGAGAGACAGGAATTGTATGCAGGAAAACTTTATTGTACAGAGAGGGGAAGGAGAGGCCTGGAGAGGGACGATGGGCAGACCCCAGGCAGGAGGCCAGGGCAGCCCAGGGCAGCTTGTGCAGAGCTCAGCTCCTCCCTGCCGGGCTGTGGCGGCTCTAGCAGGGCCCGCAGGTGTCCCAGAACTTCTTGCTGTAGCGGGGCA